TTTCTATTTTTATAGTAGAGACAGGGTCTCGCTCAGGCTGGTTTTGAACTCCTGACCTTGAGCAATCCGCCCGCCTTGGCCTCCCAGAGTGCTGGGATTACAAGCGTGAGCCACCACGCCCGGCCTGAATTGGACTTTATATTTCTTCTTTTATTTTTGCTTGTGTCTCAAAATGAGATTTTGAAAAGTTGAGTTCTCATCTTTTTAGAACTCAACTTCAGATGGTGGGGGACTGTCTGGCCCAAAATAGGGCTTCTTCCTTGAGCCAAACGATGAGCAAATGTGAACTTCTTTAACTATCCAAATCTATCCAAAACTATTCAGTGATTCCTTCTATCAAATAACAACTTGTACCTTTGAACAGAGGAGATAAATGATATCTTTTTCTCCTCCTGCGCCCACTTTTTTTTTTAAACATGACAACTTGAAAATGTTGCTTTAAGTTTGGGAATAAGGATGTAGAATCCCTATACTCCTTGTTTCTTTTCCACCTGACAACTTTGTTTTTGGTACTGCTTTTTAGCTTTGTGAGTATTATACTGTTTTACTCATGATCTGTTATATGCAAAGCTGAACTGGCAGGAGTATCTGTCAGGAAGTTAAATAATATGGGAAGTATGTTAGCCCAGAACAATCCGAGTTTGATATCATATATTTTTTTTAAACACCACATAGGTGTAGTGGGGCTGATGTGGCTTCTCCTCCTCTCACCTCAGTTCTCTGAGATCAGCAATGGTGATTTCCCTCTTTAGCTTGCCATTATATTGCCCAAATCTTAAGTGAACCCAAATGCTCTCTCTTGATTTAATGTTTAGAAAGCTACTCCGGGAAGACCAATTGGAGCCAGTTACCAAAGCAGCACAGCAGGAAGAGTTGGAAAGAAGGAAGCGCCTGGAGCAGCAGAGGAAAGATTATGCAGCCCCTATCCCTACCCTTCCCCTGGAGTTCCTCCCAGGTAAGCCCAATGCTTCATCATTTTGGGAAATATGTTAGAACTAAATGTGGTCCTGACATTCCCTTCCATCTTTCTTTTCCTAGAGGAAATTGTCTTAAGAGCAAGTGATGGTCCCCAACTACCTCCTCGGGTCTTGACCCAGGAAGTCATTTGTTTGGATAGTAGCAGTGGCAGTGAGGATGAGAAAAGCAGTCAAGATGGTAAGATGGAGCCAGAGGTACCTCCCCTTTCTCCTGACCCAGTATTTATCCTAAGAGATTGGCTGTATCTTTGAAAAGAACTCAGTTCTTCCTTATTCAGTTTGGGGCCTGGCTTTCACAAATTTCCCTGAGTCTCCTTGGTAAATGTAAGTTTTATCTCCTGTCTTAACTGGATGTTGGAAGATAGAAATAAGAAAAATCAAATTTTTTTGAAGTGATGGCAAGTTCTAACTTTAAGTTTCTAGCTTTTCTTCTCTGACAATGGGCAATAAATTATCTCCACTCCCTGGGTTTTTATTTTTGTTTTGTTTTTTTGCTGTCTCAGAGGTGATTGAACTGAGCTCTGGAGAAGAGGACACTCTGCACATTGTGGACAGCAGTGAGTCTGTCAGTGAGGAAGATGAGGAAGAAGAGAAAGGTGGCACTCATGTAAATGATGTCTTAAACCAGCGTGATGCTCTTGGGCGGGTCCTTGTCAACCTGAACCACCCTCCAGAGGAGGAAAATGTCTTCCTGGCCCCGCAGTTGGCACGGGCTGTGAAACCTCATCAGGTACAGCAAATCTGGACTCTCCTCTCCTTTTCCTTTCTCTTTCCTTGCTGTGGACATTGCCTGCTGGTGGTTATTAGCATCACAATCTGTGAAGTACTTGTTTGGTACCAAGATCAGCTTGGAAAGGCCTGATCCTTCAAGCAGGATTCCTGATGAATAGAAAGAGACTGAGAATGGGAAGAGATAGGCTTCAGATTGCCCTACCATGAGGGAAGCACTGGATCTCTTGGCCTAATAATTTTGAGTCTTCTGTAGGATCAGCAAGACTAATTGAGACACTCTTGAGAGTGGTGCCTTGATTAGGAAGGTATTGTTATTTGTTAGTGGTACCAGGAGAGATGTGGAAGTTAGAGGTCAGAGGGACTTTGTAATAGGAGGGAGCAAAGTAGTTTGTGTTGATCCAGAGTGCCTAAAACCAGGACCAGTGAGTGAAAGTTCCATGAAGACAGAGGTTGACTCAGCTTACAGATTCCTTTTTTTTTTTTTAATGGATATATCATAGTTATATATATTTTGGGGGAACGTGATATTTTGATACATGTATACAGTGTATAATGATCAAATCAGGATAATTGGGATATCCGTCACCTCAAACATTTATCTTTTCTTTGTTTTGGGAATGTTATAGTTCTTCTCTTCTAGCTATTTTGAAATATACAATAAATTGTTAACCATAACAATTGTTTCCCTACTATACTGTCTGAAAACTGGAACTTATTTCTTCTATCTAACTATATTTTTGTACCCATTAACTATCGTCTCTTCATTCCCCATCCCCCTGTTTCTAGCCTCTGGTAACCATCATTCTAATCTCTATCTGTACAAGGTCTGCTTTTTTAGCTCTCACATATGAGTGAGAACTTGTGATATTTGTCTTTCTGTGCCTGGCTTATTTCACTTAATGTAATGAGCTCCAGTTCTCTCCAGTTATTGCAAATGACAGGATTTCATTCTTTTTTAATGGCTGAATAATATTCCATTGTGTATATATGCTACATTTTTATTATCCATTCATCCATTGATGAACACTTAGGTTGATTCCCTATGTTGGCTATTGCAAATAGCTTAGCTTAAGAGCTCTTAACAACAAGAGCTTGCCCTTATGAAATGGACTGCCTGAGGGGGTGAGCTCCCCAAATTCAAGGGCAGCCAGGTTGAATGAAAGACCCTGTCACTAATTTAGTACAGAATCTTGCATCAGAGGGACATGGCACTATACCAGGTGAATGCTTTTTTGTTTTCTCCACGAATCCTAGACCAGCCAGTAGACTAGTCAGGATACAGGGAAACTTCAACGGCCATTCACGCCAGCTATCTGTTATAATGCTTGCTCATTTACTTAATTCTGACTAATTCCAAAGTAAATAAAACTAGAGCCCTGGTCCTTGCCAGCTCCTCTGACATTTGCCTTTGTTTGTCCCTTGTTAGATTGGTGGAATCCGGTTCCTGTATGATAACCTAGTGGAGTCCCTGGAGAGATTTAAGACCAGTAGTGGCTTTGGCTGTATCCTGGCCCACAGCATGGGTCTGGGGAAAACTTTGCAAGTGATCTCCTTCATTGACGTCCTCTTCCGCCACACGCCAGCCAAAACAGTCCTTGCTATTGTGCCGGTAAGAGTTTTGGGGAAGGCTCCACGTAGTCACCCCTCTGAAGGCTTTGAGCTAATACCTAGGCACTAAAAGGCTAAATGAGCTCTAAGCTTGCTTCTTAAAACTCTCTCTTTGGACTTGATTTTCTGATAGGTTAATACTCTTCAGAATTGGCTGGCAGAGTTCAACATGTGGCTTCCAGCTCCTGAAGCCCTTCCAGCTGACAACAAGCCTGAAGAAGTCCAGCCTCGGTTCTTTAAAGTTCACATATTGAATGATGAACACAAGTAGGTGGCCTGCTCTTTACTCTCTGTCCCTTTCATTTTAGACTTCTGCCCAGGATCCAAATGTTAAGGCAGTCTATCTGAGTATATAGCCTGTCCTCCCAGATTCCTTTTGGTTTATGTGCCCCTCTCTCTGTTCTTGCTACTTATTTTTCTCTCTACCTAGCTTTTCAGGAAAGCCAGAATTAAGTACCATGTTTCCCCAAAAATAAGACCTACCCATAAAATAAGCCCTAGCAGGATTTCTAAGCATTTGTGCAATATAAGCCTACCCCAAAAATAAGACCTAGTGACTGGTGTGGCTACGCAGATTATCTGCACAACCCATGCATTTCATTGCGGAGCAGTAATGACAGCTACTATCCCAGAGGTGACCAGAAAGGTGCGGGCAGCCCCACCAACAAGGTCGGCTCCCCCTGTCAGGTCCCGGCCATCCTGTATGTGCTGCAAGCTGAGGCTTTGAGGAGAAAATAACACATCCCCTGAAAATAAGCCCTAGGGTGTCTTCTTGAGGAAAAATAAATATAAGACCCTGTCTTACTTTTGAGGAAACACGGTAGTTAGGGAAGTTTCTGGTGTTCAGCTTTAGGATGCTTTTATATCTTGAAAAATTTGCAGGCATGGTCATATTTTCCCATACGTATAGCAGTAAAATTCAACATGATGGAATGGAACTTAATGTCTTCTAACTTTTATATTTCACTTTTCTTAGAAACCTAATCATCAGTCTCTTTGAAGCACTGCTCTACGGTTGACTTTTTTTTTTTTTTTTTGAGACTAGGTCTCGCTCAGTCGCCTGGGCTAGAATGCAGTGGCATCATCATAGCTCGCTGCAACCTCAAATTCCTAGGCTCAAGTGATCCTCCTGCCTCAGCCTCTTGAGTAGCTGGGTCTAGGAATGTGCACTACCATGCCTGGCTAATTTTTCTATTTTTTGTAGAAACGGAGTCTTATTCTTGCTCAGGCTGGTCTCGAACTCTAGGCCTCAAGTAATCCTCCCGTCTCGTTTCCCAAAGTGCAAGGATTACAGGTGTGAGCCACCATTTATAGCCTACAGTTGACCTCTAATGATACAAAGCTTTGAAAAGTCCCAGCCTTGTTTTTGTTCTACATTTATTTATTTATTTTATTTATTTATTTTTGAGACAGTGTCTCATTCTGTTTCCTGGGCTAGGGTGCCATGGCATCAGCCTAGCTTACAGCAACCTCAAACTCCTGGGCTCAATGATTCTCTTGCCTCAGCCTCCCAAGTAGCCGGGACTACAGGCACAACCCACCATGCCCGGCTAATTTTTTTCAATTTTTAGTTGTCCGGCTAATTTCTTTCTATTTTAGTAGAGATGAGGTCTTGCTCTTGCCCAGGCTGGTCTCGAACTCCTGAGCTCAAGTGATCCTCCTGCCTCAGCTTCCCAGACTGCTAGGATTATAGGTGTGAGCCACCACGCCTGGCCTGTTCCACATTTAAATAAAATTATTTATATTTCCATGCTATCAAGTCAATCTGATTTCCAAAAATCTAAAGCTATTTCTTGATCCAGGCCACCTTTACATGCTACCCTTTTCCCTCATTGGCATAAATAATTGAGAAGATAAGTTTTACTTGATTTTTTACAGAGACTGCCTTTTGTGATCTTTGGTCACACATATCAAAATGAGGAGACTATGAGTGACTCCACAGGTGGTTGACCACCTGCTCTGCTTTCTTAGATTTATAGGACTGCTAGTCCACATGCATCTAATGAAATATAGTGAGCACATAGGCATTTGGAAGTCGAGTGATTGTACTGAGAATCATCTGTTCCCTGTGCTCTGCCCCTTTATTGTTTGTCTATGGCTCTTTATTCTCTGGAGCCCAGGCAGGTGAACAACAGAATGTTGTCCTTCCTTCTGTGACCTTGTAATTTTCATGAGAATGACTTGAAACGCTTCCTCAAATGTTGAATTATAGTCATGCATATATGTTCAAGGGGGTTGTCATTTCCTCTTGGCTTGTGCCATTGAGTTACTGTGTTTCTTGCTCTTTAACCATCAGTGATCCAGTGCAATCCTCAGTGCAGTTTGTGTCTGGGATGATGGGAAAGTCCTTGGGCAGCTGGCCAGCTTTGTGCTTGCTGCCACATGGAATCTTTGGCAATAAGGAGTTCTGATACCAAATCAGCACAGCTTTGATTGTGAGGAATTCTTCATGGGGAGCAGCAGAGCAATGATGCTTTACTTCTATTCACCATTTTATAAAACAACTTTGTTGAAATATAATTCACTTCTCACAAAATTTTCTCTGTTTGCTTTTGCAGGACAATGGCATCTCGTGCTAAAGTGATGGCTGATTGGGTGTCAGAGGGTGGAGTGCTGCTGATGGGGTACGAAATGTACAGACTCCTCACTCTCAAGAAATCCTTCGCCACAGGTAGACCGAAGAAAACTAAAAAACGCTCTCATCCGGTCATCATTGATCTTGACGAGGAAGATCGACAGCAGGAGTTTCGGAGAGGTGGGCAGCCTATGATACTCTTGGTGGTGTTTCAGGAAAAAAGAAATAATGTCTGCTGATAACACCTAGTCAGGTGTGAAGTGCATTATTTATTTATTTAATTTTTTTTTGAGACAGAATCTTGTTTTGTTGCTCAGGCTAGAGTGACTGCCGTGGCGTCAGCCTAGCTCACAGCAACCTCAAACTCCTGGGTTTAAGCAATCCTTCTGCCTCAGCCTCCCAAGTGATTGGGACTACAGGCATGCGCCACCATGCCCGGCTAATTTTTTCTGTATATATTAGTTGGCCAATTAATTTCTTTCTATTTATAGTAGAGACGGGGTCTCGCTCTTGCTCAGGCTGGTTTTGAACTCCTGACCTCGAGCAATCTGCCCACCTCGGCCTCCCAGAGTGCTAGGATTACAGGCGTGAGCCACTACGTCCAGCATGAAGTGCATTATTGATGTAAGTTGTCATGAACCAGAAATCGTGGTCCCCAAGATGGGCAAGAGAGTTCCAGTGGCTCTCCGAAGATGCTGCTTTCTCTGCAAGCAGTACAGTTTGGTTAGACCAGGCCACACACTGGCTTGGAATGAGACTCCCTTGTCCATCTGTCCCTGTTTCTCTCACAGAACAGTCAGAAGAGTAACTAGCCCTTTACCACTTCCTAAAGATATTCTGAGAAAGCATTAAGAAAATCACCAGTATAAAGACAGAGTAGGCCGGGCACGGTGGCTGACGCCTGTAATCCTAGCACTCTGAGGGGCCAAGGCAGGTGGATCATGTGAGCTCTGGAGTTTGAGACCAGCCTGAGTAAGAGCGAGACCCCATCTCTACTAGAAATAGAAAGAAATTAATTTCCCAACTAAAAATATATATAAAAACTTAGCCGGGCATGGTGGCGCATGCCTATAGTCCCAGCTACTTGGGAGGCTGAGGCAAGAGGATCGCTTGAACCCAGGAGTTTGAGGTTGCTGTAAGCTAGGCTAATGCCATGGCACTCTAGCCAGGGCAGCAGAGTGAGACTCTGTCTCCAAAAAAAATAAAACAAAATAAAAATAAAGACAGAGTAGCTATAATGTTGTTTGTGAATTTATAAAAAGAATTTATCCCAGTTGCTTTTAGTGAAAACCACTCCTCTCGTAGTTCTAGTTCGACTCTCCTTTTTAAGGGACCTTTGTTCATTTGGGGAAGAAAGTTTTTAAGGGTTCAGAGGCCTCTTTTATAGATCTCTTCATCTATGAGATTGTTTGTTCTAGGTTTGCTTCTATGGTAGAACTGGGATGAATTTGCCATTTAGCAATGAGTAGAGAATAACTGCGGGAAGATCCTGTCCTTTAGCTAGCTCCTACCAGCCAGCCCTCAGATGGAGCCAAGACGCTGGCAATGGTGAGAGCCCACGAAGTGTCTGGATTATTTCCCATTGGTTTCATCTAGATGCATTTTTAATCCTAGGCTGCACTCTGTAAGCTCCCTTTCTCTGTTGCCCAGTTGGTGTAAGCCCTAGCGAGGATTGCAAGTCAGTTTTATTCTTAGCCTAAAGAAAAATAAAATAAAATAAGGAAAGGAATGGGGGAAAAGGGATTTTTATTGCAAGAGTCAACAGCCAGGTTAGCATCATACCAAATGTGCAGGAGCTTGAATGGCTGGCTCCCTTCTACTAATGGGGGCTGACTCTTGCTTTCCTGCTTCCTTCATTTCTTCTGTCTCCTCCAGGGTGCACCCCTACTTCTCATATTATTGACTAAGAGCAGGCCCTCTCACCCTCTGACTCCGGATCCTCTTCCCTCCCTAGAGTTTGAGAAGGCCTTATGCCGCCCTGGCCCTGATGTGGTGATCTGTGACGAGGGACACCGCATCAAAAACTGCCAGGCCAGCACTTCACAGGCTCTGAAGAACATTCGCTCTCGGCGCCGGGTGGTGCTGACTGGGTACCCCCTGCAGAACAACCTTATTGAGTACTGGTGCATGGTGGACTTTGTGCGCCCAGACTTCCTTGGCACCCGGCAGGAGTTCAGCAACATGTTTGAACGCCCTATCCTGAATGGGCAGTGTATTGACAGCACGCCTCAGGATGTCCGCCTCATGCGGTACCGGAGCCATGTCCTGCACAGTCTCCTGGAAGGCTTTGTGCAGAGGTGAGCCACCCTCAGGGCCCTGTTTTCTGAATCCTCAGAGGGTCCTGGTGCAATGGCATGCCAAGGCTATTATGTGGGGGGTGGGGGAGGGGATGTTATAGTAGGGGAGCTCCTTCCTAGTGGGGCAGTAGTAAAACTTCCTTTGTGTGAATAGCTAGCAGATGATGGATATCAGCTGTTTCAGTCCTCTGAAAGTTTGGTGCTTCTCTCAAAGTTAGGGTTATTAGAGATGCCTATCTTACTTACAGAGAGAAGCAAAGAAAGCTACCATTCTGCAGACTCGGTTAAAAGAATAGAAGTGGTTTTAGGGGTATTACCTTATCAGTATCAAGTATCTCAGTAGATATAGCTTAAGCTAGTCTAAAGCAGTCCTTCATTTCCTTGTTAAGATAGCATATATGGAGAAAGCTCAGAGAGGCAGTCCTAAATTGGGGTAAGAACCTCGAGTTCCCCTGATCTCTGTCATCCAGTTGGTCTTTACTTTTCATCCTTGAGATGAGTTTCTTCTTGGTTCTTGTTGACCTACTCTGTATTATTGCAAGACCACAGTGCATGTTGAGATCCTCATGAAGGAAGTGTGGCAGGAAAACAAGGTTCTGTTTTTATCTTGCACTGACCCCTTCTGGCTGTACCACCTTGCCACTTCTAATCTGTTTGCCTCTGTAGGAGAGGCCACACTGTGCTGAAGATTCATCTCCCTGCCAAGGAAGAAAATGTGATCCTTGTGCGGCTCTCCAAGATCCAACGAGATTTGTACACACAGTTCATGGATCGCTTTCGGGACTGTGGTAGCAGTGGCTGGCTGGGGCTGAACCCTCTTAAGGCTTTCTGTGTGTGCTGCAAGGTGCATTGGGGCCTCAGGGAAGATTGAGATGGGGGACTAAAGATGCACGTGGTCCTGAGGGAGTTACTCCTACTGGGAGTCCTTGATAAAGGAAGAAAAATGTGAGAGGGGGCCACCTCAGTTCACTACTTTGGAGGATTGGGGGCTCCAAGGAGAGATGTGCTGATTGTATACTGTACAACTCCTAGGGGTGACACTCATAGAGTATAACATAACTGGTGCCCCTTGTAGTTGTACAGGGGGCCCCCTCAGCTGCACAACTTGTTATACCAAACTTGAGAAATCACTCTCTTTCTCACTGCTTTTTTACACTTGGAAAAGCGGATGATGGAGAATACTGTGGAGCAGAGATTTTGATAGATAGTATGTAGATAGCTTAGACAAGTTACAAGGAGTACCTTCTATTGGATTCTTTATTTGATCAGGTTGCAGTCTCTCTCTTCCTGATATTGAGGGACCTATTTCTTTGACTTAGTATCTGTATCTGTGCTCTCAGCAGACTTGTTAGGTATTATTCTTGATTGACCACTGCTTTAATAAATCAGCTGAAGGCATGTGTGTGGGCACAAGTGAGGTTTCAAAATATTTCTTTTGTAGCCACAGTCCTAGACTGGGGCCAGGAAACTAAAGCAGACATGGTGGTCTGTGACGATGCTTCAGTGGCAGTGCATTCTTCTCTCCTCCTTCCCTCCGTTTTCCTGGGAGTTCTCAACTCTTGCTAGGAAAAGTCCCTGAAATGACATATGATTGCTTATCTATAAATCAGATACATTTTGTCTATAGGAAGAGATTAGTTTTGTTTCATAGTTTCATACAGTAGCTGACTATAGCCAAACAGTGAAAAACAGAACATTCTTACTCTTTTTTGAATAAGAACGCAAAGCTTGTGACACAGCCTTTTTGGTTATGTGCCAAATACATTTGCATGACTTCTGGTATGAACTCTTCCATTCATGTGTCATGGTGATCAGAGCTGGTAGTGAAAGCTAAGGTGCAGGCTCTTTTACTGTGAAGAGCTTCTTGTGTTGTGAACAGTGTGTGTTTGGGAGGTGTGTGTTTGAGTAAGTGCATGTTTCCAGACTCCCTAGAACAGTCTTGGAGTATTCTTGTCCTGTGCCCCCTCTCCTTTGAACCTCAGATCTGGAATCACCCTGATGTGCTGTATGAAGCCCTTCAGAAGGAGAGCCTGGCCAATGAGCAGGACCTAGATGTGGAAGAGCTTGGCTCAGCAGGGACCAGTGCCCGCTGCCTGCCACCGGGAACAAAAGGCAAGGGGGAGGATAGCACCTTGACTTCAATGGGAGAGGCAACCAATAGCAAGTTCCTACAGGGGGTTGGCTTCAACCCTTTCCAGGAGCGAGGCAACAACATCGTCACGTATGAATGGGTGAGTCAAGCAGATCATTCAGTAGCCATAAACTACTGAGATGGGATGGTGCAAGGCCTACTTGTGGAGAGAGTCAGTCTCTGCAGGGGATATGAATGAGGCCAGTGAGCTGCTGCCTTGGAGGGAGAGAATTTTATTTCTAATGATCTGGCCTTGGACTTGCTCCAACCTGCCTCATTTCTCTCTTGCAGGCCAAGGACCTTCTGACTAATTACCAGACTGGAGTCTTAGAGAACTCTCCCAAGATGGTACTGCTTTTCCACCTGATTGAGGAAAGTGTGAAGCTTGGGGACAAGATCCTCGTGTTTAGGTAGGAAGAGAATTCCCAGTTGAGGCTGTGTGTTTATGGTAAGCGATGACACTGCCCCTGCAGAGCAAGACCGACTAAAGCTACACCAGTCCCCTCTCCGTGCCTCGGCAACCTGTGCTTATTGTCAGGACTTTCTTACATTTGTCTCTCTCTTGGAGTTTCTTTCTTTGCTCAATGTGATTTCTCCATAGAGAACAATTGGGAGGCTAACATTGGAGATAATAGTCTAATCCTTCAAACCATGGGCTGTTTTTGTTCACCCTAAGAGCTAAGAATAGTTTTTCAATCTTTAAAAGGTTGCAAAAAAAATACAAAGAATATGCAGAGTATATGTATGTGGTTTATAAAGCCTAAAATATTTGCTATCTGGCCCTTTACAGAAAATGTCTGCTGACTCTTGATCTGTTTCTGTCCCTCCCCAACTTTTTATTTTTCTTTTAAGCCATGTATATAAGACCAAATAAGTGATGTGATTTGTTCCAGAGTCACATTCTCATTCTGACTGGAGCTTTTGAGTCTCATCAAAGTCTGACTCCTTAGGAAAACACAGAAAGTAGATTAATTCTTTTTTGTTCTGACCAGATTATGCTCCAAGGAGAGCCAAGTGGCAGGGAGCCTAGCTTGGGAGCCTCAGAGCAAGAGCCTCCACATGTGACATACTTTGAGGGGACATCAGAGAGAGAGCCTAGTGCTCTCCTAATTTTATGGATCACTTCTGAGGATACTGGCTCTCTGCATATTTTGGAAGCAGCCAAGTGATTTTGTCTTTCTAGTAAGACCCATAAAGATTGGTCCATAATCAGATCTGATGTATATTCATATGGTGTTAGTTTGTTTGTTTGTTTATTTATTTATTTTTTTGAGACAGAGTCTCACTTTGTTGCACAGGCTAGAGTGAGTGCCGTGGCGTCAGCCTAGCTCACAGCAACCTCAAACTCCTGGGCTCAAGCAATCCTTCTGCCTCAGCCTCCCAAGTAGCTGGGACTACAGGCATGCGCCACCATGCCCGGCTAATTATATATATATATATTAGTTGGCCAATTAATTTCTTTCTATTTATAGTAGAGACGGGGTCTTGCTCTTGCTCAGGCTGGTTTCGAACTCCTGACCTCGAGCAATCCGCCCGCCTCGGCCTCCCAGAGTGCTAGGATTACAGGCTTGAGCCACCGCGCCCGGCCCATATGGTGTTAGTTTTTAATGCTATTTGTTACAATGCATTGAGCTAAACCGCAGAAGTTTTCAATTGAGGAAGTAAAGAATGGAGAAAGTGTTTTTTTCAGTGTGGTGGTGGTAATAAGTATGTGGATGACTCTACTCCCATTATGCACTAGGAAGAATACCCTTGGTGGTTCTTGTTTTTATAGGGGGTAGATTGTGGGAGCTCCCGCTGTCAGAAGGTTGCACAAGAGTGTGGACCTATTGGGAACAAGGTTCCCTTGGGTCTGAGAGCCATCTGAACCAAATGTTTTCCCTTTCAGCCAAAGCCTTTCTACTTTGGCTCTCATTGAGGAGTTCCTAGAAAAACAAGAAATGCCCTGTCTGCCTGGTGCCGAGGGACAAGGAGCACAGAAGTGGGTTCGAAATGTCAGCTACTTCCGTGAGTTTATTGCTGCTTTGTTTCTGGAGACTTGATGAAGTCTGCTGAAGGGTTTCCTTTCCTTCTGTTTCTTTTCTTCTACTCCACTCTCCATCAAATGTGTAGCAATGTCTGCATTAGCCAAAGAGCAGAGGGATACTGAGAGCCAACTATTATGTATGAGGCACTGTCCTAGGGGCTGGGGGCTTGGGAGAGATAGAGGGAGTATAGGGAAGTAGAAGATGTAGGCCTTGTCTTCATCTGAGATGTGACAACTCAAGGACAAATACAAAGTAACACTGAGTGAGTGCCCTGACTGGGGTTCTAAGAAGGATAGAATCATTGTGGAGAGGATAGAGGGAGAAGGCTTCTTGAAAAGGTGGGAAGAATTTGAATATACACAGCTAGTGTAGCCGAAGATCACTCTAGGTGGAAGGAACACAGTGAATACAAGCCTAGATCATGCATTCTCTGTGTGGGAGATAATACCCATAAGGGGTATTAAAAATTGCTTTTTTGGGTGGGGGTGTGTGAAAAAAACTTAATTTTTTTAAATGTATAAGTCAGAGATATACATATAGTACATAAATAGATATACGATATATCTGTAGTATTAAAATTTTGTGGAAGTAATGGTAGGATTGGGAAAATCTCTAAAAAGGCTCCTTTAGGGGGTGGTAATGAAAAAAAATTGAGAAATGCTGGCCTCAGCACTGTTGACATTTGGGCCAGATAATTCTTGTTGTAGGGGGCTGTCCTGTGTATTGTAGGATGTTTAGCAGCATCTCTGGTCTCTACTACTAGATGGCAATAGCATCCCCTAGTTTTGACAACCAAAAACATCTCCTGACATTGCCAGATGTCTCTTGGAGAGTGTGAGAGTGGAGAAATCACCCTATTGAGAACCACTGGTCTAAAGGAAGGATTTAGAGAAATGAAGGTTCAGGGGGTATAGAGGAGACCCCTAGCATAAGGTCTGGCCTAGAGCTTGGTTTACTATGTAGGCTTGCCCAATGAGTCAGTGGTGAGCTGTGCTTGGAAACGTGGGAACTCAGATTGGAAAGGTAAGCTAGGGTCCTAATTGAGACCCCAATACCTAGCAATTAAACTGTTGCTTCCCCCAACTATAGTAATTCAGTTCTCCATGTGGTATTTCCCACCTTAGCTTTGCCTTTTACCCAAGGTGACAAAATATTGCCCCTCCTCTCAACTAAAGTTGTTTTTTCTTTTGAGCTCCGCTGCTTTCATTTGAGTCCCATAGCACTGCTCCAGATGTATTTCTTTTACGTTTCTACAGCAAGTGCTTAGCCTCAGGAACTTGTTAAAAATGCAGATTCCTGGTGCAGGAACATCACCCATATCAAAACACAAAACCTTTAGTCTTTCTGAAATCACCAGGACTCACAGGGCTGAATCAGAGAGGTCATCTTGAGCCAGTGTTTTTCAAGATCTCTAGGTGATTCTTGTGTATTCTAAAGTTTAAGAACCTTGGCCTTAGAATTGACCTGAGATGGGGAGAAATGTAGTTTATAATCTGTGTTGCACGTGGGAATCGCCTGGGGGTATTTTCAAATTATAGATACCTGGGCCTCACTGTAGACTTGATATGTCCAGGGGGTATGAGCACTGTAGTATTTCTCAATATGAGCACTGTAGTATTTCTGTTTGTTTTATCTTGTTTTAAAAACACTTTTGCCCAGTGATTTTGCAGTGTACCTTTGCTCTCATCTATCCACTTTTTGTGTTTTTCCTTCCTACCTAGGGCTAGATGGTAGCACCCCTGCCTTTGAGAGGGAGCGGCTCATTAATCAGTTCAATGATCCCAGCAACCTCACCACCTGGCTATTCCTTCTCTCCACAAGGTGAGTTGATCCTGAGAGGGGAGATCAAAGAGGTGGGTGTTCAGGCAATTGTCCACATGAGCAGGTACCCCAAAGGTTCATCCAAGTTAGATCAGATGAGATCTGCTCAGGTTTGTAACTTGTTTATGGTATCAGAGAGGGGACCCCAAAAGCAAGTTGTGTTAGCAAGGGAGTCATGATAGTGCCAGAGTTCTTTGACCTTCATTAACAACTGTTGTGTAATAATTAGCTTTTCTCTCAGGAGTGGTCCGAGGCTTAGATGATGTGATGATGTGAAAGTGCTTTAGAAAAAAGTAGAAAGTGCAGTGTAACTGTAAAAGGTTGATGGCATTGTCTCACGTCAAGCAGTTTTGAAGGCTGTGCTGCCTTCTGCCATCAGAATGCCCTTAGCAGGGTATAAGCTGGTCATTCTCCTAAGCTGTTAGCCTAAAAACACCAGAAATATCTGTGTACAGAAGTTTCCCCTCACCAAGGAACATCACTCTGGAGCCAATATGTGGGGGTCCTACTTGTTACAGAGGGAAGGAGAGTGGGTTTTCTGTCCGAGCTGGTAAGCACTTTTCATGTTAGATTCAGAGCATGCTTTTCTGTGCTTGAGGAACACACTGTTTATCAGCAGGACAGCAAAATCCTCGAGTAAGTTGTGCTTTGGACAAAGAGTAATATTGGGGTAGGAGTCACAGAGGGCAAACTGATTTGAAAATTATCTGTAAGACTAAAGGCTCTATGATTGTTGGCTTGTGTTTTAAAGGGCCGGATGCTTGGGTGTGAATTTGATTGGTGCCAATCGAGTAGTGGTGTTTGATGCTTCCTGGAACCCTTGTCATGATGCCCAGGCAGTATGTCGGGTATACCGTTATGGCCAGAAAAAGCCCTGTCACATCTATCGCCTTGTGGCTGATTACACCCTCGAAAAGAAGATCTATGACCGTCAGATTTCCAAGCAGGGCATGTCAGGTGGGCCATCTTTCAGGCTCAGGAGAGGCACATCTGCACAGGCTACCATCCTTATAGTGTCAAGGGTGGGAGAGGAGAAAGGAGCACAATGTGGGAACACAGGCAGGCTTTGAATCACAGAAAACCAGCATTTCCTCTCATCTCATTCTGATTTAAATCATTGCTAAAGATGATTGAAGGTGGGTTTAATGGTAACAGCCAAGTTATTTATGGAAGTTTTTCTTGTATAATGTTTTCATTTCACCAGGGCCTAAGACCTGGTCTTTCATATTCAGATATGGGATGACTTTTTATTATTAATAAGAGTTATGCCACTCACAACTTCCCTTCTCTCTACTGACTTTTGTAGTAGTGTTTTTATAGTCTTTGCCATGTGCTAACTTTCTTCATCTTTTCACCCTTCTAGATCGGGTGGTAGATGATCTAAATCCAATGCTGAACTTTACCCGGAAGGAGGTAGAAAACCTACTGCACTTTGTCGAGAAGGAGCCAGCTCCCCAAGTATCCTTGAACATAAAGGGGATCAAGGAATCAGTCCTGCAACTTGCCTGTCTGAAGTACCCTCACCTTATCACCAAGGTAAGAACCTGGTAAGCACACAGTCCATGGTGTGGCAGTCTCAGCCGAGGGAGGTTTGTCTGGCAAGCTTGTTTTCATCTGAGGTGGTATTTCATACAGGCAACTTGGACTGAAGTGGTTCTTTTCTTGCCTCACTCATTACCCCATCCCACCCCCAAATACCTATTCCCATTCCTAGTCTAATCCTAGGAGTGCTAAACTTAGCCATGTAGAATAATTTGGCCAGTATGAGTTTTCCTAGCAGAAAGACATGGGAAAAGTTATGAAAATGTAATTTGTTAATTCTCTGAACTCCCCCAATATTTTGACATGGAAGGCAGGCTTAGATGTCTAAAATTGGTGATAGGTTAGAGTTGTGAATTATACTCTTTTTTTTTTTTTTGAGCTTTGTCACCAAGGCTAGATTGCTGTGGTGTCATGATAGTTCACTGTAACCTTCAACTCCTGAGCTCAAAGTGATCCTCCTGCCTCAGCCTCCCAAGTAGCTAGGACTACAGGCGTGCACCACCATGCCCACTCATTAATTTTACTCTTGACAGAAAGATAGTAAAACCTGCCTGTGTGTCTGTAAGAAGACTCTTCATTAATGCTAGAGATAGCCAGCTCTTTCTTGATTTCAAAGTAAAGCTCATTGTATTTCAGTCGTTTGGGCACAAAGACTAGTAATTAAATCAACATCCTTCTGTGTCCCCAGGAGCCTTTTGAGCATGAGTCATTGCTCCTCAACAGAAAGGATCACAAGCTGACCAAGGCTGAGAAAAAAGCAGCAAAGAAAAGCTATGAGGAAGACAAACGCACATCAGTCCCCTATACCCGCCCGTCATATGCGCAGTATTACCCTGCCAGTGACCAGAGTCTGACCAGCATCCCTGCCTTCAGTCAGAGAAACTGGTGAGTTGGTGAAAGGGGAGGTTCTGCTGCTGGACTAGGCCTAAGTGCCTTTTAGCTGGTTCCTGTTTTAGATGAAGAAAGATCCTACAACTTGCTCCTTGGCTGCTATGAACTGACAGGTTCTGCTCTAGGGTTAGGTGCCAAAGCAGTTTAGCCCTGGTGTTTTAAGTGGCTCTGGTTTTGACTGCCCAAGCTGAAAAAGTGACCTGTTGGCCTTGTGACTCAGGAAGGTCCTTCTGGGCCCCTGGGTAGGCATGTAGGTTACAACTTCCCAAACACAGAGGCCCAGTCCTTCCTCACAGGTGCATCCTACCCCTAGCACCGTGGTCCTAGACCTTATTTAGCAATGATGTTCAAGGGTAAAGGCCATGTTCTCTCTGGGTTTTGGATTGTAGTCAGGGAATTCTGCTGCTCCTAATGGGATTTTATTTTGTGGCTATGCCATGATCTTGAGCAAAAAAATCCATTTCCTGAGTACAACTTCTAGAACCGTTCAGAATATGAGCAGGGTAGAAGCCAACTTATATGCAGAGAGAGAGAGGCTCTTTGTAAGATGTTACAGAACAGTTATCTGTGTTTGATTTTTTTTTTTTCCATTTCATGACAGTGCCTTATAACCCGCACCCTCCCATTTATTAACCAGATCAACTGCCTGATTGAGTGGTTTGCATATCTTAATTGTTTGATTCTCTTGAATTAATAATAATTATTTTATTTGAGGGGAACAGATTTAAAAATTTTTCTTATTAAGATTCTCGTGTAAAAAAAAAAAAACTTGCCAAATGAGGCTCTAAAGGAAACAAAACCATGTAAGATTTTATATAAAACATTGATTTTTTTTAATGAGCAAATTTGTTACTTTTGTGTAGCAAATTGAAGATACTTTCAAGTAGAAAGTCATTGTCTTTCAAAGCCTTCAGACTTTTAATTGCTCTCATTTTCTAAGATACTATTGCTTGGTAAGGTTCTCCTCTCTTGTTCCCCAGCCCTTCTTTCTTGTTTTTGGACTTTTTCTGTGTAACAGCAGGAGTGGACTAAGCCTGAACTCAGTAGGAAAAAAAGCCATGTGGAGAGAAGACATAACAAATGGTCCAGGTTGGGCTGTGAGGAGATGTCAGCTCTGTTTCTGGCTTAGCTCCAGCTCTGTGTAGGCACCAGCTTCTCACGGCATTTGATGAGCCATACCATGATCCTGCTGATTACTAATCCTGTCTGGGTTCATATGAGGAGGACTTCCCACCCAAACTCCTAGTCTTAGTTTCTGTAGAGTATCAGGCTGGGACCCTTCTGACTTTTGATCCAGGAAGGAATCTCATTGATGTTTGGGCCTCCAACTCCTGCCAGGCCACCCTGGGAATACATTGAGGAAAGGAGCCCCAGACATGTGCTGTTTGCTATCTAGGAACTTGGGGGCCAGGGGCCTTCTCAAAGAGGCTTACAGCAACCTGAGAGCAATGTGATTGAGGAGTCATGCAGACTGGCTCCAACAGCAGAGTGATGTTAAAGTGTTCTTTAACACCAGTCTTCAGTAAAACAAGGAAAGACATGCCAGTCCAAGGAGGTTTCTTTCCCAGGCCCAAAGACCAAAGATGAAGACTTCAGACAGCTTATAGACCGTGACTTTTTTTTTCAAAAATCTTAAATCAGGAGTAGATTTCTCAAAGTACTAAATGTCCGTTTGAAACGGTAACAGTAAAGCATGCATCATTGACCATGGGGTAACATTTGGCATGTTGGTAGGGGTGCACAGCCAGTGCTCAGGCTAGCTGTGGTACCGTGCCATTTAGGAGCTTGGCTCTTATGTGCAGTGCTTTGGCTGCTGCTGTTTTTGTGGTAGTCAAGACAAAAGGGGCACTTTGGAGACTGGCCCAAGCAGGAGCCAGGAGGAGCCCAATGAAAAGTAGTATGGAGGAAAGAAAGGTGTGTATTACTTATTGACACTTGAGGTTTCAGAAAGAGAGAGAGTAAAGATGGTTAAAGTTGGGACAGACTATCACTCAAGATCACCTAAACATGTGGCATCACATGGATCTTTTCTCTTGGGTGAGTAGGGAAAATTCTACCCATTGGTCTTCAACTTAGCATACACTGTGGTCTGGTGAATGTTTCCTTTTGTATTGCATCTTGACAACTTCCTAAATTCCCTTAAAGGACCAACTCCTAATGTAGATAGTTCAAATTCTAGAGGAGGAGATGTTTCTTTCCGTCTCTCTGATTCTTATTAGATGCTGATAGGCTTTATCCTTTTGCTTCTTTCTCTGCCACTCTGTGTCAGTCTGTCTCTAGTCTCCTTTTGAACTAACCAGACCCTGCACTTTCTTCTGATCCTTCTCTGAGCAGCCAGTGAGGGTCTAGCATGGGGCAGAGAGGCTCTGCAGCCTTTGGAAAAAGGTAAGTAAGAGCTGTTCTGCTGAACTCTTTGTGCACTTGTCTTTCTCTCACAGGCAACCATCTCTGAAGGGTGATGAAAAGCCTGTGGCCAGTGTTCGTCCTGTACAGTCCACCCCCATCCCCATGATGCCCCGGCATGTCCCACTGGGAGGCAGTGTAAGCTCTGCCTCCAGCACAAATCCATCCATGAATTTCCCAATCAACTACTTGCAGCGAGCGGGAGTCCTGGTGCAGAAGGTGGTCACTACAACAGGTGGGAACTCCTGGATTCATTCCAGGGGAACTATCCCTTTTAAAGTTACTTTGTTCATTCAAAACCTTTGTATTCTAGGCCTTACTACACTTGGCACTGTAGGTAAAAATAAAGAAGACAGCAGTTCCTGATCTTGAGAAATTTGAATTCTAGTGAAATATCTTAAGAACAGCAACACAGAACTGGGTTTTTTCAAGTGTTGTAGGTGGGATAGACTCTGAGCACTGCAGGGATTGTGGAAATATCACTGGAACATAGGTTTGATCTCACAGAAGTGTGAATGTGGTGAGCCTGGCCTGATTATAGAGTCAGCTGGGTATAAAGGACACCCATCAACCTCCCTACATAATTAGAAGACCTGAATAGTTGTTTGTTTCTTTGTGAATTTGATATGGGCTGAGCATGGTGGGCCAGTGACCACTGGTGGGCAGCCCGTCTACCCCTGGGGTTGGTTCTGTGATTTAGGGTGATTAGGAAGGAAAGCATTTCATGATTCTGTTTTTTTTTAATTTTGTTATTTAGAAATATTCATGATATATAAATTTTAATGAAAATGTCTTAATTGATTTTTCTAAGAGTGAAAATAATACATGTCTATTATAAAAAATTTGAAACGAAAAGAAAAAGAGAGCCCCTTATAATCTGTGAAAATATTCTTCTTGATTCTTGAAAATGCTGTTTTGGCTGGGCATGGTGGCTCATGCCTGTAATCCTGAGGTGGGGAGGATCGCTTGAGGCCAGGAGTTCAAGACCAGCCTGGGCAGCATAGCGAGACCCCATCTCTACCAAAAAATTAAAAAATTAGCTGGTCATAATGGCATGTGCCTGTAGTCTTAGCTATTCAGGTGGCTGAGATAGGAGGATCGCTTGAGCCCATGAGTTTTAGGCTGCAGTGAGCTATGATTATGTCACTATACACCAGTCTGGGTGTCTCTTAAGAAAAAAAGGAAAAAGAAAATACTCTTCTCCAAGGTGTGGAATAATGCCATCAAGGAAGAAGTTGAGGCCACTTTTGGAGCCCATAGTGATGTGGACCAGATATGTGAAAATAGTTTAGGGGAGAAAGAGGAAAAAACATAGAAATAACCATTTGAACTAAAACTTTTTCCAAACCCAAAACTGTGTATTTCTAATTAAATCAAAGGAAATTGAAAGATGATCTGATTTCTAAAAAGGTTCTGGTGTTCATAGTATTCTTTGTTTAGACAATTGCTAAAGGTCTTGCTTGCTTCACTTTCCTTGCTTCTAGACATCTTTTCCACTGAGAGGCTTTAGAGGAATTGGGGTGGACACGGGACTTTGCATTTTCTTTCCCTGCTTCAGTCAGGTCCTGTATACTCTAAATTTGAGATCTGTATTTTCCCTAGATATTGTTATCCCTGGACTCAACAGCTCTACAGATGTACAGGCAAGAATTAATGCTGGTGAGAGCATCCACATCATCCGTGGGACAAAAGGTGAGAGCCTGACCAAGGGACGCAACCCCTACCTTTGGCTGAGAGTGCTGGGCTGGGAAGCAGAATAAATACATATGGCTTGAGCTAGAGGGGGCATAGGAATCATCCCATAAGAATGTCACATTTGCGGGAAGAATGAGAAAATGGCATTTTTAGGAGCTTAGCAGAGTTGGCTTTAGCCCAAAGGATATCATTCAATGGCTTAAAAGAAGGCAATTAGGATCTCTACATTTCTATATGTTGCCATCATTTCTATGGAGAATTTTGAGATAGGGATAGGTAGATATAGGGAGACCAAAATTGGAGGGAAAGAGCTATGGAATGAGATATAAGCCAGCATATATGTTGTTGTGTCATCTTTACCTACTTGCTTGGAACAGGCTGAGGTCCCTGGCTAGGAAATGTATTGTATGGGTGAATTAGTACACAAGGGTTACATGATAAAATTTTTAAGTGTGGTAATTTAAAAAGTCCACATCTTCTTCTGGCCCTCTTACAGAGAGAGATGAATTGCTAGAATAAAAAATTGGGGCTATATAATGTTGACATACTGTTTTTCATATTAACCTTTAACTAAGCCCCATCACTGTATGAGGCTCCTTTGAGGTCTCACAAAATTTGAGTAAGATTTTGCCTTAGCCTCTGTTGGGTTAGAGTACCTTTAGAGTCAGGGAGAAAGTACTGTGAAATACATGGACACATAAAGAAGACTGTACCCAGCTCCCTTGCTGGCTTCTTCCTAGCCTAGAATCTAGCCCCTTTTACTGGGCTCTTCATATCCTAGAGCACGGGTCAGCAAACTACAACCCATGAGCCAGATCTAGCCTGCTGCCTGTTACAGTACCTGCAAGTTAAGAATGGGTTTTACATTCTCAGTTGGTTAGGAAAAAAAAAAAAATCAAAAGAGTAATATTTTATAATGTGAAAATTATATATCCATAATAAAGATTTATTGGAGTACAGGCATGCTTAGCTGTTTCAGTGTTCATAAAGATTTATTGGAACACAGCCATGGCTAGTTGTTTTTTATGTTATAGCAGCAGAGTTAAGGAGTTACAGCAGAGACCTTATGGCTTATAAAGCCAAAAATATTTGCTATCTAGCTCTTTAAAAAAAATTGCCAACTCCTGGCCTAGAGGCAGCCCCAACATTCCGGGACATTGATCAGAGAAAAGATAGATTAGTGCCTTGTAGGAACAGAAAGTAGGTCTTTCTTGAATTATTCCTTCCAGGAGAGAGGATATTGAGCCAATAAGGCTCCTTCCTCACAGATCAAGAGGAAGACCTGGGCCAGAGTACCTGGGTACAAAGGGTGTCAGCTTATTCTCTTTGACAGACCCTATTTGTTTTCTTCTTTGCATTTAAACCTTCCTGATATTTTCTGGTGTAATTATCTCTCTCCCCTTCTATAGATAGATTAAGCTCCAATAGACAGGATCTTTTTCTGTATTGTGTACTCCATTGTTTAGAACAGTGCTTGGTACCTGATAGTCATGTAATCAATGTTTGTGGAGTAAATAAATAATTATGGGTCTATAGCTCAGTCACCCTATTTAGGTCTCAGTCAGACCTAATTTCAGAGGTCTTGAGAGCCTGTATGAGACCTAATTTTGTAGCTATTTCCAAACCTTTGGTGCCTATGTCCGGAGTTTCCCAGGGTTGGCTGTATTGCTGCTGACTGCTTCTAACAGTCTTCCTCATACCTATTCTTAGGGACATACATTCGCACCAGTGATGGGCGGATCTTTGCTGTCCGGGCGACTGGCAAACCAAAGGCCCCTGAAGATGGTCGGATAGCTGCCTCAGGTGTGGTGGTTTATACTTTCCGTTGACCTACACAACATGGTTTAGTTTGATTTGTAATTAACTTATTTTTTGAATAAATAATATGTACATGTTTCACAATTGAAAAGGTTAAAAAAAGGGGTAAAGTGAAAAATATGTTTTTCTCTCACCATGCCCCCAGCTATCCATTGCTTCTCCCTGGAGGTACTACTCTCATGTGTTTTTTCAGAGATATTCTATACATGTTACAGGGTTGTATGAGTATATGTATAAAAATATATGCATATAAATAATATATGTATATAAATATATAAATGTATAAATACATGTATTTTCTTTGTATCTTTAAAACAAATGTTAGTATACTATAATATGCTATTTACTCCTTTTTTCACTTATCAGTGTTAGCTCATTCCTTATCATGCCTTCTAGATATGTCTCATTGAAGGTTTGCATAGGACAGGGTATAACACAATGTATTACCTAGTTTCTTGTCAATATACATTTAGATGATTTCACTGCTGACACTGCTTTTTCATAGTTGTGTGGGTATATCTATAGGATATATTCCTAGATGTGGGATTGCCAGGTCAAAGGCTATATAGGTGGCACATTAACAATGTTAGGAACTCTTGCTGAGTTCTCAGTAGGAGTGGTTCTCATTTCTATTCTCACTACTGAGAAATGAGAGCTAGACTGCTCTTGTTCCCAGCTTTGTATTGTGGAAATTTTAAATTTTCATACATACAAGTTGGAAGAACAGTTGCCTTATACCCTGTACCTAGATCCAATGACTGTTAGTTTTCATAAACCTTCTGTCTTTCCTTTTTCTATTGCTTGAGTCATTTGTAAGTTGAAGACATCATGCCATTTTATCCATAAATTCTTTTTTTTTTGAGACAGAGTCTCGCTTTGTTACCCAGGCTAGAGTGAGTGCCATGGCGTCAGCCTAGCTCACAGCAACCTCAAACTCCTGGGCTCAAGCAATCCTCCTGCCTCAGCCTCCCGAGTAGCTGGGACTACAGGCATGCGCCACCATGCCCAACTAATTTTTTATATATATATTAGTTGGCCAATTAATTTGTTCTATTTATAGTAAGACGGGTCTCGCTCTTGCTCAGGGTGGTTTCGAACTCCTGACCTTGAGCAATCTGCCCGCCTCGGCCTCCCAGAGTGCTAGGATTACAGGCGTGAGCCACCTCGCCCAGTCTATCCATAAATTCTTGAACATGCATTTTAAGATTAAGAACACTTTCTTCCTTATTTTCACCATTCTTAAGCTATAAAAAAGTTAATAATTCCATAATTTAAAAAGTTAAATAATTAAATTAAAAAGTTAATAATTCCATAATACCTAGTATTCAGGCCATATTCAGACTTCCCAGTTATTCCAGTTTTCTTTCATAACTATGAATTTTGTTTTTATTTACTTATTTACTTCATTTTAATTTTTTTTTTTTTAGCATCAGGGTCTCATTCTGTCACTCAGGCTGGAATAGAGTACAGTGACATGATCATAGCTCACTGTAACCTCGAACCCCTGGGCTCAACCATTCCTCCTGCCTCAGTCTCCCAAGTAGTTGAGACTACAGGCATATGCCACTATGCCCAGCTAATTTTTTTTTTTTTTTTTGGTGGAGACAGGGTCTGGCAGTGTTGCCGAGGCTGATCTTGATCTCTTGGCCTCAAGTGATCCTCCTGCCTCTGCTTCCCAAAGTGTTAGGGATTACAGGCATGAGCCACTGTGCTCAGCCTGTTTTGTTTTTAAACCAGGATGAACTGCTTTTTACCTTCATTTTCCTCTTCACTTTCCACCCTGGTCACTAACTCTCTCTTACCATCATACAAAGTCTGACTAGTTTTAAGAATGATCTCTTAGTGTGTCATATCCATCATCTCATAGTATTCATTTTGGTGGAGTAGAATCAGCTGAGGTACAGAAGAATCACATGCCTTGTCATGGATAGATTTGTTTGGGGGTGAAGGAATTTCTTTGTGACTGGGAAAGGTTCACTGGGTGATGTTGTTTAGACATCGAACTATTAGAATTTTGGGGACCACAGGACAGGATTTTTTTTAAATGGAATTTTCCCCTCTACCTTTATTCTCTCCCTGGCCATTCTGGTTCTCAGTTACCTACATTTTGTCCCCAGGTTCCCAGGGGCCTTCTCGTGAGTCCACAAGCAACGGCAGACACAGTGCCTCATCACCCAAAGCCCCTGACCCTGAGGGGCTGGCCAGGCCCGTCTCTCCTGACAGCCCAGAGATCATCAGTGAGCTCCAGCAGTATGCAGATGTGGCTGCTGCCCGGGAATCCCGTCAGAGCTCCCCAAGCACTAATGCCGCCCTGCCTGGCCCCCCGGCCCAACTTGTGGACAGCAGTGCTGTTCCTGGGACAGCTCTTGGGACTGAGCCTCGACTTGGGGGTCATTGCCTCAATAGTTCCCTCTTGGTGACTGGCCCGCCCTGTGGTGATAGGCACCCAGTGCTGGACTTAAGGGGCCACAAGCGAAAGTTGGCCACACCGCCTGCTGCCCAGGAGTCAGCCCGCCGGCGGTCCAGGAAGGGACATCTGCCAGTCCCCGTGCAGCCGTATGAACACGGGTATCCAGTCTCTGGCGGGTTTGCCATGCCACCCGTCTCCTTAAATCATAACCTCACCCCCCCCTTCACCTCCCAGGCTGGGGAGAACTCCCTGTTTATGGGCAGTACCCCCTCCTACTACCAGCTGTCCAATTTGCTGGCAGATGCCCGCCTGGTGTTTCCAGTGACTACTGACCCTCTGGTGCCAGCAGGCCCCGTCAGTTCCTCTTCCACGGCTACCTCAGTCACTGCCAGCAATCCCTCCTTCATGCTCAACCCCTCTGTGCCAGGGATATTACCCAGCTATTCACTCCCATTCTCACAGCCACTCCTGTCCGAGCCCAGGATGTTTGCGCCTTTTCCTTCCCCTGTCTTGTCCAGCAACCTTTCTCGGGGCATGTCCATCTACCCAGGCTACATGTCCCCACATGCGGGCTACCAGGCTGGTGGCCTCCTGCGGTCCCAGGTGCCTCCATTTGACTCTCATGAGGTTGCCGAGGTGGGGTTCAGCTCCAATGAGGATGAGGATAAGGACGATGATGTGATAGAGGTCACTGGGAAATAGCCCTCCTCCACCTCACTTGGGGGGCCCAGCAGGTTGCCCACCAAGCTTGAAGGCAGTGATTCGGGCTTTCTGAGAATAGGGCACTTGGCAGGAGGGAAAAGGAAGAGTACAAAGAAGAGTGGTTGGCTATGGTGGCAGGGCTCTGTTGCTGTTGAACAAGAGGGGAAAAAAAAAGTCCAACAGAGCAGCAATAGTGGGAAATCAGGGACCCAAAACAGGGATGGAGGGGCAGGGCAGCCTGCCTCTCTTCCTTCCTGCCTTGCTTATGTTGTCTGCTTGCTTGCCCATCCGAGTGTAGAAATTCACATCCCATTTCTGTCTTTGGGAACATTCTCTCCCAAGAGAGCTGCCTTACTGGGTGACTTAGCTTGGCCTGGGGAGGGGAGGAAAGGGGGGAGGTAGGGTGAGTGAGAGATGGAGGGTGGGCAGGGGGAGCAGACTGAGATCCCATGTGAAGTGGGGTCTTTTTAGGGGGTGGGAAGGAAACAGACCAGGTATGTGTGTTTGTGAGTGTGTGTGTGTGTATGTTTATGTGTGTATGTATATGTATGTATCAGAGCAGGGGTGAAGATGGGAAGGGAGGGGAGGGAGGGAGGAACTAAGGGGGAAATTGAAAAGTGAATTTACCTTTTTAAAAATGGAAATCAGAGTGTAGTGGTTCATGGCAACTATTAGTGTGAACATCAGGGTGAGCCCAGGAGGAGAGCCATGGAAATCACAAGTTTCCTTCTAGTTGGGTATAGAGAAGGCCCAGCTAACTCAAGTCCCCGGTTTTCAGAGCCACATTTGTTTATAGAATTTGGGGGAAATCATGAGAGAAAATGGGCATTACCAACCTCTGTCTCTTACCCCAGTGGCTGTCTCTAAGCAGATCTCCCTTTCCAGGGTGGGAGTTGTCTGTGTGCAGAGGCTGGGAGGGAGAAGCACTGCAGTGTGTGAGTGAGAGCTCATGGAGTGGCTGGAAAAGACATTTCACCAGGGTGGAACTGAGCCCCCAGCTGCCCATCCTGGTAGTCTTTCCTGTTCCTTTTCTTTCCTGTTGGAAAGCTCCATGTTAATTTATTTTTATGGGAAATTATTTATTATCTGGACTTTCCATGTGTCTTGTTTTGAGGGAGAAGGGGATGTTAGGGGTAAGGAGGGTAGGAGATAGAAAAGGACATTTTAAGATATCCCCGTCCCCATAGTTACTGGTAAAAAAAAAATCCTGTGTAGCTGGTACATTGACCAGGGAAAGAGAGTTAGGCTTGACTGAGGTTTAAACAACTAAGTTTTTGAGAGATGGCCTCTCAGGAAGATCAGGGCAGTTGGTGGGGAGTGAGATTCATTCCACAGAGATTGAAACTTGGGATCATGGAGTTTGCTATTGGGAAGTAAGGGGCCCCAGATATAGAGCTGTGTCCTCTGGGATGACCTTAGAAGCTGGCTCTCTATGCTGATTAGTGAAGCTATGGATTGGCAGCTGCTGGGCTGAGGGAATGGACTATTGATTTTTTGTTAGGAAATGTCTTGGCTTCCCCAGCCTATCAGGTGATCAGTGTGGGCCTGTGTCTGCTGCCTCCATCTTTTTCAAAGGAGCATGGAGGAGCTGTTCCTTTGTAGGAGCCTTAAGTCTGGCTTTTGTCTTAAAAGAACACATTCTAGGTCTCCCCTTTCTTGTTGCCAATGCCAGAGAAGGGGCATCTAGTCCTTAAGCATAAACATTGGCAGTCTTCCTATTGGCATGTCCTGCCCCCTCCCCCTAAGACTTTGCCAGACAGTTCTTTATGCTGAACAAATCTTGTCTGGCTTTAGAGCTTTACCACCTACCCATGGCTCCTTCTTGGCTGGGCAACTGCTGCGCCTGTCTCTTCCCAGCCCAGGAGGCAGCTTAGGTCATCCCAGTAGTAGCTCCTATAGCTCTTCTGACTAGCCCATTTCCATTGTTGGAGGGCCTTTGTAGACTCTGGGGTATCGTCCCCAGAGAAGAGACAAGGAGCTGTCTGTGGGGTGTATATGTGTGTACATGTGTGTTTCTGTGTTGTCCAGTAACACCAAAAGTGGAACTTAAGGAGCTTTCTTTCTCTGTTTTCATAAGCACCCTGCCAGACACTTAACTCTTCTACTCATAGAAGCCTTAGATCTACAATTTAGCTATGCAAATTATTTTAGTAATTTAAAAATAGCATTTCCAACCAGTACTTTCTCTTTCAGATGCGTCCCAAGAATGGATGGTGGAGGGACTCAGTTGGAATGGGCTCTTAGGCTGAGGCTGGTGCAGTAGGAGGGAGCTCGTCTGGATCTCCAATCTGCAGAACACACCCAGAACCTGGGGTTTTACTGATGCCTCTCATGCTCTGGAGCTGGGATCCCAGAGATGTGTGTGTGTGTGTGTGTGTGTGTGTGTGTGTGTGTGTGTGTGTGTGTGTGTTTTGGAGGAAAGAGAGAGATTTCTGTGTTCACTTCTGGGAAATCACTGTAGCAGGCTCTGAGAACCCAGAAACCATCCCAGCAGGGAACTGAAACCAGTCACTGGAGAGATGGGCTTTTGAAATAAATGGGTATTCTGAGAGGCAGCACATGCCTACTCTCTATCCTTAGTGATTCCAGGGCCTGGGTCTTGCTTCACCTTAGCATAGACCATAATTCTGGGAGGCCAGCCTGAATAGAGAAGGCTTTCTTTGATACGTGCAGCTTCTATTGTGTAGAGGGGTGGGGGTGAGAACATGGGAACTTGGAATGCTACCACTTCCTTTTTTTTTTTTTTTTTAAGTGAACCTGAAAATACTTTGTGATCTTTCTGCTGTCTCTTTGTGTGCTGGTAGGCAAATACGCATGCACACGAAACAAGAGCATGTGTGTGAGGGAAGCAGGAAATGTCTCAGAGCATAGGAACCATGTTTTACAGTTTCTTTGATCAGCAACACTTGGTGAACCAGGCCCAAATGGGGGAGGGCTGATGATAAGAGGCTGGACAGATCAGGCCTGGGTGTTTTCTCTCACTATTGTCTTCCACAGAATGTTTTCAAGGGCTCTGCAAGCCCTATCCATCTGGTTTAGCCTAAGTTCTCAGCCTGGGAAACAGTACTACTTAGTGATTTAGGACTACCATTTGTAGTGATTCTTGATTTCCTTTGCTTAGTTTCTTTCTGGATAAAAATTGAACAGGGACAAAGTAGCTATTTAAGAAGGGAAATAAGTGAACCATGTTGGGTCCGATCATTTTCTTCAGATTGGATTACCTGCAAAGTCCTCACCTCTTTGAGTTGTGCTTCTTAAGCATGTATCTCATCATCTCCTGACTTAAAGATAACTCTGTCTGATTCTTAGGAACTCTCTTCCTTAGGAATTAGTGTGTGGAGTCTCTTTATACTTCTGATTCACAACTAAATATGAAATTTCCCACTCCAGGAGCATGAAGCAAAGAGCTGGGATAAAGTTTGCTGATGGGTTGAAATACTTAACCAAACTTCAACAGTCTGAGTGGGACTGTCACTCCCAAAGCTGTCAGCAGAGAAAGGCCCTCTGTATCATTCTATTCAAAACTGGCTCTGGAATTGAGTCCTCATCCCATGGGGAAGGTCTTCTGGGGGCTTTACATTCCTTGTTACTAGTGTTCCTGGATATCTCTTTCACTTCCCACTTCCTTTTGATTTCTCAGAAGACTAGTCTCTCTTCTGAGCCATTGCCTTCTATGTACCCAGGTAAGAGCTAAGTGGCTCTTCCCCTACCAAAACTCCTGACTTTGTCCTTTCCCCATAGGACCCCCAGGAGTCTTTCTGTCCCTCTGCTGACTGTTCCCAGGAAATCAGCACCTCAAGGCCTGAGAATGCTGCACTCTCCACTGATCACCTTCAAACTCCGTTCCCCTCCTACTGACTCTTTTGCCTTGCTTATTCTGCTGTGACCCTTTAATGTCTGTTCTGTGCTACTAGCTGGCCTTCCATGAAACCCAAGTCTTATAACGATGAACTTCCTGAGCAGGAATTGTCCACCTTTGTTCTTCAGGGACCTGAGTCTGCACCTTTAACCTCTTGCAGGTATATTTGAGATTGTAATCTAGTGCATTGGGGAGGCTTAGCCAGGCAGGCTGCAAAGTCTGTACTACAGAGAGCTGGGGGAGATTTGGGTACTCTCTGCTACCACTACAGGGGTGATATTCAGAAGAGAGGGGACCTCATACTGTGACCTGACCCGGACCCTCCCTGGAAGAGAGCTCAGCCCAGCTGTGTGTGTGTGTGAGAGAGAGAGTGTGAGTGTGAGAGAGAGTGTGTGCACCTGTGTGTAAAATGACTGTTATCTGGTTGTGTTACTCAGGGTGGGCTGGGGACTCACCAGAAGAATCCCCCCCTAGCCTGCCCAAGACAGGATTTTTTTCCTTGTACCCTCTTCAGAGAGGTCAGGGGAAGAGGATCCAGGTGGGTTGAGGGGGTCACAATGGATAACCACTAAGGCCACACTGCTGCCAGGAAGAGAAGAGGGAGATGAGGTGGGCACTTGGCTTTGGTTTTCCGTCTTCTTTCCTCAGGACGCCCTGAGGCCTGGGACCTGGGCCTGGCTTTGAGGAGCATCTGTAGCTGGGTGATCCCACTGCTGGTGTGACCATGGGCTTCCCTCCTCTCTCAGCAGGGCAGGCACTCCTGCCCCAGAGACTGGGCAATTGGCTGTTTCTATGACGTATTTATTTTTACTTGTGTTTCATGTCACTTTTTTAAAAAAGCAAACAGAACAATTGTAAGTCAGTATAACTGCCTATCAGTTTTCTTTATTTCTCTTTTTGTAAAATAAAATTTAAACTCAAGAAGGCAATGTTGTTTGATCAAGGAATGGTCTGAATAGCTCTATGGCTGGGTAGTGGTGAAAGGACTACAACTCAGAGCATAGTGGCCACTGGGATAGCACTTGTGGGGTGAGACAGGTGGCAAGGAAGACTGCTGACAGGCTTTCTGTTGCAGTGGGGTTCACCAGGCTTTTTCTGCTTTTGCTCACCTGAAGGAGGCCTGCATTTCCAGGCTCTAGGGGAAACAGCAAAGCTAACTTAGAGTGGATTGAGGCTAGTTGGTCCTCAGCCATCACAAGTCCTGCAGGGGCAGCCCTGACTAGATTGTGAGTGGCTGGGGATTGGACACAGCACCAGTGCCTTCAGAGGGTGGGAGATGGTGTCTCTGTGAGTGGCCGGTGGCAGAGTATTCTTACACTGTATTTGCGTCCTCTAATTGTCATCTGAGTTAGGGGATCTAGCCACTGGCTCACAGAGAGCTAACCAGGGCTTTGGAGTGTGAAAGGGGAAGAGGAGACAATCCACTTTGGCTCCCTAAATTTAATTTCTGTAACGGGAGAAGCCCTGGGGAAACATTCTCTGGAAATTTACAAAGGGGGAATTAAAAAGCCTCTATAGGGATTCCTTGGACAGAGGAAGGGTGGAGGAGACAAAGGCCAAGTCTGGGCTCCTGGTAGGAGAATAGGTGCTATTGAGAGAACTGGAGTGGAGTGTGGATGGGGCAGATGACTGCTGGGTGAGATCTCAGACCTGTTACAATAGGGATGGGGGGCGGGGGCGGGAGATGAAGAAAGTTCCTTGCAAAGTGGGCTGCTGCCCTCTGGTGGCCAGCTGAGGCCTTGCAGGGATCCTGCCAAGTGTGGTGCTTGCAATGTTGGAAGCAGCCTGAGATGAAGCCTGGCAGGCTGATGGCCGGCAGGCTGATGGCCTGCAGCCCCAGTCCCAGTCTCCAGCAATCTCTCCTTCCACAATAGAAGTGTGGAAGGTCCTAAGGCACACTCTGAACTCTGACATGGGGCGCTGGAGTTCCCTAACTAGACTAAAGGAAGTGAACAAAAAGGACAAGATGAGGAATGGGCAACTCTAGACAACAGTTTCCTGGGAGAAGCAAATTAGCTTCTGAGAAGCAGAATTGACTGTTCAAATGCTGCAGGCAGAGGTTGTCTGTCTCTGAGCTGGTGCTATAGCCCCTCCTTGTGTCATAGGAAATGCTTCCAACTGTGTAGCCCACCTGCCTGGGCACCTGGGGCTTGGTTATGTGCCTGACATTCATAGGTAAAACAACTGCCATGACCTGCGATGGCCTGTCCCTGCATGCCTATGGAGCCTGCTGCCCACTTTGCCAATCTGCCCAGAGGGCTGGGACAGGCCTGACTTTGTGGATGAGGTTCAATCTTCCCTGCCTGTGGAAGGAAGAATGTGAAGCAGAGGGAAAGGAAGCCAGGATTGCGACGGCCTCTGTGTCCCTAGCCTGCCCTTTGTTAGTGCAGTAGTTGGATCCACAAGAAGATGTACCAACTGTGGCTGCTGACTTTTTTTCACCACCGCCTTCCTGGTGTCCCCGTCAGAATGATCCCCCTTCCAAACACCAATCCTTGTCAGGAGCACCAACATAGTTCTCTGACCAGCCTGTCTTGTAGCTGAGTTTATTATGAGCATCGTTGTCACCTTTCCCACCTCCTCCACCAGAGTCTGGGACTCTCAGAAGGGCAGAGTTTGATCTTTGAACCCCTAGCAGAGTGCTTTACAGTTTGTAGGTCTTCAGAAATATGAGCTGAAGATGGGACCGGATCATCAAGGATCTTACTCTTGACCTGGGAATTACCTGATTATTGCTACACCAGAAGGGTAGACCAACCTTCCCCAGCCATAGCCTGGGGCATTGAGGGAGGAGCTGGGAAGGGGACTTTCCCGACTAACTAGAGGTCCAGGAGGGCGGGGCCCTGACTTTTATGTTCACACTGTATTCCCAGCTCCTAGAACTGTCCTGGCAGGGAGTGGTACTCAATAAATGTTGGATGAATGATCACCCCTTTGTTCACGGAAGAGGGGTGGTGGGTGGAGGCAAGAAGCGCCGTCCACAGGTGGAATCCACCATCTCCTTCCCTGAATCTAGATGGGGCTTCAGCTTCCTCGGCTGTAAAACGGGAGCAAGTGGCCTTGTCTTGCTTGGTTCCCAGGTTTGTTGCCGAGCTTCAGTGAGGTTTGGAAATGGCAGGACTAAAGGCGGCAAATCCCAGAGGCTGATACTGTGCTGCGCCTCCCTAACCTGTACAAACGCTCCCTTTGGCCCTCTACTGCACGCCACTGGGCTAACTTCTGCCCAGCGCCTGGGGCCAGGCTGTTACTGGGGGGCTCCTGCCAACCCAGATGCCCTGTCGTGTTGCTATGTCACCGGCAACCGGGGAGTTTGTTGGAGGCGGAAGGTACGCGGTGGGTCCAGTTCCAGGAGAGTCACGCTTGCCCGTTGCCATGGAGATGGGGCGGGGCAGGCCTCCGCCCTCCGAGTCCCGCGCGCACGCGCCCACGGCCAAGGCCACGTCCCGCCGCGAGAAGGGGCGGAGCGAGCGTGCGCGTTTGGCGCGCGCAGGCTCCACGACCTGGCCCGAGCCGCCTGCGCGGATCGGCGTCCGCGGCGGGCGGCTGCTGAGGTGAGGGCTGGGCTAGAGGGGAGGCGTCCCCGCCGGGGCGTGGGCTTGGGTCCCCCTCCACTCCCGTCCGCCCTGGCGCGACCTCAGGGCTCCCTGCGTCCCCTCCTTGAGTCTCTCTTTGCATCTTGTCTCTGCCACAGATGGCCCGGGCCGAGACGCGACCTTGGGTCCGCCCCTGCCATCCTGGGCGGCCCACTGCCTCGGCCGCCGGTGCAGGGCACGCCCCAGGGTAGTGGAGCTAGGGGGAGAAACAGAGGCTGGAGTCGCGTGTTAACTCCGCCTCCGTTCTCCAAGGCCGCACCTCGCAGCCCAGGCTGCAAACTTTAGCGTCCCTAAGTTACAGAGATCCGTGGGGTTCCGTGAGGTTGTGGGCGAAGAGAGAGGGGCTGAGTAAATAGGCGAGGCTCAGCGTGAGGAGGGGCCCCTCCTCCCCGTGCGGGCCCCTCACAGTTCTCGTCTTCCCGCTCCCCGCTAGCGCCCAAGTTTCGCCGGCTGCAGGGCCCTTTAAGGGCCCGGCCCTCCGCTGCCAAGCACGTGAGCGGCGCCAGGAAGCCGCACCCAGCTGGAGGCGTCCTTACCGGGCTTCTGATTGGAGGGGAAACCGAGGCCTGAGAGATGGCACAGCCTGTCCATGGTTGCAGCAGGGACTGTCAGCGTCATGTGTGGTGGCTGGAGCCCTCCAGGAAGAGGGGCATGAGCAGAGCCGTAATGAAGAGCCCTGATGTTGTGAGGCAGGGTTTGGCTTCTGGTTTCCCCAAGGAGTCTGAGAATGGGGTGGGGGTACTTGTAGAAACCCCGGAGAGCTTTTACTGAAAAGGGGATAGTCAAGACATGGTACCTGGCTCAGTGGTTATTTGGGGCCGGGTGAATGTTCCTTTCAGCTCTCAGCACTGGAGCGCTTGGCCCTTGCCACACTGGATGCCATGAGTTGCTAAAAGTGAGCCTGGCTTTTCAGGTGAGCTTCCCCCAGCCCTTCTCCTTCCTATCCTCTGGTATATGGGGGAAATTCACGTTGCCCCTCCACCTTCCCCTGCTGACCAAATCTCTAAGGCCTGCGGGTGCATTTTTTCTTTCTGAGCATTTTGGAAAGTGAGAGAAAGAGAAAAGTGGGGACTAAATTCCCTTGAGGGTACAGGAAGTATGCAGCTGAAGGGTAGGTCACTCCCAAGGCAAGTGGTGGCCTAGATGGTGAGAGTTTTCCAGCCAAGGGTTCAGAAGTGTCCAACGTGGATTAAATGCTTGGTCCTTTCTGGAAGCCAGATACCAGGGAGCAGAGAGAAAGTGAAAATGGGAGCTTGGAGTCAGACCACCTCGGTTCCCATTGCCTGTGTTTTTGTCCAGGTGGCTCTGTTTCATACCTGAGTGACCTTGGATGAGTCCCTTAACCTCCAACCACTTGTATGCTGATCCATACCTACTTTGTTGGATTGTTTTGAGGATTAATGAAGTTGTCGTGTTTCAGCATTTAGACACTGCGTGGCACATAGTAAGTGCTCTGTGGAAGATTGATCATCTTCATTATTATCAAAGAAAACAAGAATGAAACAAACGAGGCAAGATGAGTAGTATAGGGAACACATGCAGAAAAGACAGTGATATTGATAGGTAGGAGCACAGATAGGTGAGAAGACCAGTAAGAGGCACCTCATCGTCCCGACACCAAAAGTTTAGAAATTTACTTCTTTGTGAGGCAAATGCTGTGTGCTCATTGAGTCTAGTGACAATTTTTCAGTATAAAAACACTCAGAACCCATAAGGAATAAATAATTCCATAGAGCTAAGTTTTCCACAGGGCTGCAGCGTTGCCTTTTCAGCTTCAAAACCTTTTCAGTTTTAAATATTAATTTTAAATAATTGGAGTGGAAATGCTTCCCCAACGGGTCGCACGGTTCCCTTTCTCCTTAAACAGTCTTCTCTAGGCTGTGATTGTTTTTTCCCTGTGTAACTCAGATCAAGCCTTCTATGTAAGAGAGTTTTTTTCCCTGCGTAACTCAGTCAAGCCCTCCACCCTAAGCTGCCTAGAGGCCTAGGTGGTCTGCCTCAAAATGGCTCACATACTGGCCTCTGTATAGTGATCCTGGACCTGCTCTTAGACAGCTTCTCTGCCTCTTAGGTAACTTAATTCTCCCTGTTGTTTGTTTCCATGTCTAGCAGCCCTTTCCTCCTCCTCCTTGCTGTTTCTAGTCTTCTATGGGTTAGAAAAGTAGGATGAAGCTTGTTAACATTGTTGGTTCAAGTCTGGGAAGCTTAGTGCTGGACTTTGTTCTGGCTACTTAAACTGTTTTGCTCTGGTCTCTTCTGATTCTGGATGGGTGAGTTTGCTGGACAGCAAGGTTCCTGCAGGCCAGATGTACTTAGCAAAGGAGAGGTTTCTATGAAATTCCCTTCCTTGAGGCACATTTCTCCGTGGGGTTTCACTCCTCATGGTTTTCCTGTTTGTTAGTAAGTGTTTGAACCTTGGTGTTTGCCCATCCTCCCTCTGGCAGTAGTCCATAAGCCTTGGAGAGGCTGAACTGGCAGTGTGGCTCAGCTGTGGGAAGGAAGAGGCAATGTGGAGGAAAAGCAGGCTAGCTGGTATCTGGCCCATCTTGGGGGAGACTGGTCAGGGCCAGGAGTATGTGCTGGTTGATTCACTCCTCTGTCTCTCTATGACTCAGTTTCCCCAGGTGTGACCAGGGCTGCCAGCTGACAGAGCTGCTCTGAGAGCTTCTACAACTGTGATTAAGAAATAAAGAGGCTTGTGGCTTCAGTCATCCTTTGTAGCTCCCTTCTAGGTCACTCTGTGTGTAAACACCTCTGGCCCCTCCCCCTCCTGGGTCAGAGTACCCAAGGCAGGGCTGAGGTTGGGCCAGAACTGGTTGGCGGGCAGGTGGGCACATTGGTCAGAGCAGGCTACCAGCCTCCTCTCCCTTCTCTCTCCTTTGCAGCTCCTTGGGGGTGTGGGGGGCCCAGAGCCATGTCGGACCTGCTACTACTGGGCCTGATTGGGGGCCTGACTCTGTTACTGCTGCTGACTCTGCTGGCCTTTGCTGGGTACTCAGGGCTGCTGGCTGGGGTGGCAGTGAGTGCCGGCTCACCCCCCATCCGCAATGTCACTGTGGCCTACAAGTTCCACCTGGGGCCCTATGGCGAGACTGGACGGCTTTTCACCGAGAGCTGCAGCATCTCCCCAAAACTCCGCTCCATCGCTGTCTACTATGACAACCCCCACATGGTAAGGAGCCTCCATGGAGTTCCACCCATGGATGGACCTGGGCCAGGGCCTGTTGGGGGAGGGGAAATTTGGTTTCTGAGGAAAGGGCAGGAAAATCTTTGGGTTGGCCTTGCAGACCCCTTCTCTGTGAGCTTGAAGCCCCTTCCATGTTTAGCCTGGGCTTTTGTCCCAGGCATCTGTTTGCGGGCTTTCTACTTGCCCAGGCCTGTTTCCTCTTGCTCTTGGCTACTCATGGATTTTTTAATGCAGTGGACCGCACCACTGAGTCCTTAGCTTCTGCCAGTTCTTTGGTCTCCTGTCTCTTCTTGCTGTCCCTCCCTCTTCCATCTCCATTTGGGGCCAGCACTCTAAGGCCAGACCACTGAGATTCTACCCACTCTGGGGTTACATCTTGTTTCTGTGCTTCCCCCCCCCCCCCAATCAGCTCTCCTACTGTGCATGTAGGCCTTCAAGGGCTAAGAGGGAAGCCCCTGGGAATAGGGTTTGGAATTCCACCTCTTCAGCCATTCTGGTGCCCTGTGACCCAGTGATATGTTGTTTCCTTAGACCTCAAGCTGCCTGGTTGGTAGAGGACCGAGGGCGGGGAAGGGGGCCCACATAGAGCTGGATAAACTGTTTAGAATGTCCAGAGTGCTGGTGTTAGAGACTAACCCTCATTGCTAGCACCCTGTGGGTGTCTGGCTGTAGTTATGGCATCCAGTGAGTCAAGGCTTGCTAATGTAGTCTCCTGCCATGCTATGGGGTGGTGCTGCCCACAGCTGGATAGGCTGACAGCTTTGTCAAGGGTTCTTCAGCCTCTGATATTGAGCCATGCCAAACCAAGCATTTGGAATCCCCAGCTCTGATTTCCTTGCCCGGAGAGTTCAAGTGTACAAGCCTTATAGCCTACCCACTGTCTGCTGACCAGATCTCACTGTGGCACTTAGTTAAAACAAGGGTGTGCTGATTCCCTCTCTGTGCCAGGTTCTGCTCCACACCTGCACTCTGAAAATGAATCAGACCTGGCTTTGCCCTTAGGAAATTCTATGTGGTTGGCACATAGCCCCACACAAATGATTTTCCAACAAGGCACTGTGCTCAATGTCCATAGAACTTTGAGCTGTGGATTCAGGGAGGGTGCCACAAGTTTGCTGGGGAAGCTCAGAGAGGAGATGGATTTCAGCTGGGCTTTCTCACGTGATTAGAATTTTGCTCCATCAGTAAGGCCTGCAGGAACTGCAAGAGCAGGGCCTGGAGACATGAGGTGACAGAAATGTGGCCAGTGGACATGTGGTGGGTTGAGAAAGGTAGAAGTGTTTGATGAGCCAGGTGGTAGGGAGGTACAGCAGATTGGGAGGATGGGAGGAAGGGTGCAGCACAATTTGCCCTCTTTGTGTGTGGTTTTTGTTTGTTTGTTTGTTTGTTTGTTTGTTTTTGAGACACAGCCTCTCTTTGTTACCCGGGCTAGAGTGCTGTGGTGTCAGCCTAGCTCACAGCAACCTCCAACTCCTGGGCTCAAGTGATCTCCTGCCTCAGCCTCCTGAATAGCTGGGACTACAGGCATGTGCTACCATGCCTGGCTAGTCTTTTCTATTTTTAGTTACCCAGCTAATTTTTTCTATTTTTAGTAGAGATGGGGTCTCGGTCTTGCTCAGGCTGGTCTCGAACTCCTGACCTCAAGGAATCCTCCTGCCTTGGCCTCCCAGAGTGCTAGGAACTACAGGCATGAGCCACCGTGTGGGCTTCCCCTGTTTGTTTTAGGAAGTTAACTGAGGGCCAGGTGGAGGAAGGAAAGAGATGAGGAAGG